GAGCAGACTCCTCCCGCGATTGCGCTCCGGCTGTTACTATGGGCACACGCTGGAGTGCAAAGGGGAATTACGAGGAAACGCAACAGCCTGTCACAGAGAGGGTGTTTATTGGTCGGGATTACATCATAATGCCCTCATTATTTCAAACCCTCCTGCCTGAGAGAGCTGTTGCCCATCTGACAGGTGCCTCAGAAAAACTTGATAGCCCCCACTTTCATTCTCGCTCAGTTTTCTACACTGTGCCGTCAGCTACAGCATGACAATCCGCAAATATTTTCAGTGCAATTACTGACTAGGGGAAGAAAAGCTATGAATGCACAATAACCCGTGCTTCAGAAAGACACCTCTTCCCCCCGTAGGGACACGCAGCTCATTTATCTGCGCATAGTGGTGATGCAACATCAGCCACAGTCACACAGGTTCTAATTCTGGAAAACCGAGAGCCGTCCAATTACCCCTGAGAAAAAGCACAGGCTTCGCAATAACTGCGTGTTTTCAGTCTGTGCCCAGTACAAATGAGCATCATTTACAGGTGCGATCCTTCAGCGAGGTGAGAGCGTTCGCGAGCGCTGATCGCTGAGCGGAAACTCACAGCGTGCCTGCTACAGCGAGGGTTTCAGCACAGAATGAGAGCAGCAGCTGCAGCAGCATGAAGCAGAGCGGGGAACACACACACACACACACACACACACACACACACACACACACACACACACACACACACACACACACACACAGGGGCTGCATATCCCAGCTAATGGGGAGGGGGGCTCCCCCACATAGGGGCAGGCCTCACACCAGGGGTGCACAAAAACCCCTGTCATAAAAAGGGGGATTTGGAGGAGGTCGCCCTTTGAGAGGCGCGGGTCAATGAAAAGGGTGGAATTTTATTTGAGGGCTTATTCGGGCTGTTACACAGTCCCGCCAGCGCTCTCCCCGCACGTGTGGGGTGGTTAGAGACGTCTGAGCCAGCCAGCCCTGCAACCAGCCGCTCTTAAAAACGCTCACAACACAATCATATTTTCACAATGAATATTTTAAGAGCAAGTTTTGAAACAGGAGGCCTAATTAAATGGAGATGAACTCCCCCACAGTCATTTAGGCTACGTTTCAGTCTCGGCCACACTGGAGCGCTGGAGTCTCCCGCGCTGCCAGGGGCTGCAGGGGCGGTGTGCTGAGAGGAGGTGGAAGAGATGAGCCTGATTCAGACTAATTAAGACTCACTGGAATGTAGTTCTGAAGAGGAGGAGCGACGGCCCCACGGTTCGGGCAGAGGCGCGGTCAGGGGCGAGGTCAGAGGCGGGGTCAGGGGCGGGGTCAGAGGCGGGGTCAGGGGCGAGGTCGGGTCGGGTCAGAGGCGCAGTCGGGGGTGGGGTCAGAGGCGCGCTCACCTTGTGTTTCTTCCCGGGCTCCCTCTCCCCGGCCGGCTTGTCCTTCTTGTCGCGGAAGGTGAACTCCACGTCGCCGTCCACGAAGGCGTAGGGGTCGGCCTCGGGTTCGTGCTCGCCGTCGGGGAAGGAGGCCGACAGGTAGAGGTTCCTCCGCTGAGCGTACATCTGCACCCGCTCCTCCGAAACCTTCAGAGGCCTCCCAGCGGTGGACATCACCCTGCGGGGACACGCGACGGGGGGAGAGGCAGGGTTACCCAGAGCCGCAAAGAAATCAAACCCAACAGGACGGAGATGAACGCTCAATGCGTGACTGCGTCTTGATCAACGTAATCTTGTGAAAACATTAAAATGGAGCCAGTCAATCAAGTAATGTCTCTCATTACAAACCATTTGGAACTGTTGCTTATATTACATTACATTATTGTCATTTACCAGATGCTCTTACCCAGAGCAACTTACACAGGTTAGCTACATGTTACTCATTTATACAGCTGGATATTTATTGACACAGCTCTGGGTTAAGTACCTTGGCCAAAGGTACAACAGCAGTGCCACAGCAGGGAACTGAACCAGCAACCTTTCAGTTATGAGCCCTGCTCCTTACAACTATGCTACTCTGCTGCCCTGCTTACAACACAACACTACTACAACTGCTCACAGCTTTTAAAAAACAAATCATTTAATTATCAAGTAAAACATCACCTGTTTATACTGAATGCTTAACAAATGGCTACCAATAAAATAAGTCACAAATTCACTGTTTTAATGAAGGCCATTAAATTCCTTATTTGTGGGGGGGTTGGGGGTAGTAATCATCAAGCACTGATTATTACGTGCAACATTTTTAAAGTGGGCGGCAGTCAGAGTCATGTCTGAGAAACTGCGTCCTCACTGGCCAATCAGCTGACAGCCCTGCAGTTCTGCTGTGCTGCACGTGTTTGCAGGTGGAGTGTGCACACACTTGCAAGCCCGGCTCATTTGGGCTGTTGTCTTCCTCAGTCTATAAATATGCTATTCCTTTCTGCGGAGTGAGTGAGCAGGATGTTCGAGTCTGGAGCAGGGCACGTACTCGGTCACGTGACCGCAGATTAGCGGCTGTTCAAAGCCCGGCTGGCCAGAGGATTATGCTGGACCAGAATAACCCAGGAGCTTCCTGCAACGACATCTACCCTCAACACTGTCAATCAATCCCCAATCTACACCTATTCTCCGCCAACTCCAATCACAATCAATCCCCAACCTACATCTATTCTCCACCAACTCCAATCTCAATGAGTCTCCGAACTATACCCATTCTCCATCAACTCCACTTCTCTATCTGATCCTTTCTCTATCACTTTACTTCTCTACCCGATCCAACCTTCCTCTCAGCTGGCACAAACTGATGGCTCCTCCAGCCCGCTGCTGTGGTTCAGAGCTGACATCAGAGGCGTCACAGTGCTACACGGCCAGGTTACTGTGGCTGCACGCCCACTGCTACAGAGCCCTCGGGTGGGCGTATCCCGCCTGTGTGAGCCTGCAGAGCGGGCCGTGCGGAGCACCGGCTGCAGAGCGGGCCGTGTGGAGCGCCGGCTCCCGGTGCAGCGCTGCGGCAGTGTTCGGGTACTCACTCGGTGACGGAGACGACCCCTGCGCCATCCTGCCCGCCGGGTCCTGCCCCGTCGTCCCGCAGCTTGTCCACGGGCAGCTGCGGGGTGGGGAGCTGGCCGTCCCTCCGGCGGGGCAGGCTGAACAGCTTCCAAGGGGCGTAGGCGGCGTCCTCGGGGTTCACGGCGGCCCCCACGTAAGTGGCGGGCTCCGGGGCCTCCGGGTAGGCCGGGGGGAAGGGCTGGGCGGGGCCGTCCTTCTGCGGCAGCAGGCAGGGCTCGGACGGGGGCTGGTAGAAGCTCTGGCTCTGGGGGGAGGCGGCGGCGGCGTTTTTGGCGGACTCCGCCCCGTCCTCGCCCGGCTCGCAGGGGTGCGGGCTGAGGGGAGGGGGCTGGGGCGAGCTGGCCGCCAGCTCGGGCGGGGCGTCGTGCGGGTGGGGGGTCTTGGCAGCGGGGGCGGGGGCGTGGCCGTCGCCGGGGCGGAGCCCGGGGAAGCGGCCCTCCTCCTGCGGCCGCACGCCCAGCCGCGGGGCGGCCGCGTCCGGCTCCGGCGCCGGGTCCTCGCAGGCCGAGCTGCGGTGGTGGAAGGGCGTCTGCGGCCGCTTGGCCAGCTTCTCGCCCTTCTCCGGCTTCTCCCCGGCCTTGTGCTTCTGCGGGGGCAGGGGGGGCGGGCCGCCCGCGGGGGCGTGGCCCGGGGGGGCGCCCGAACGCTGCTTTTGCGCCTTCATCCTGAAACAGAGAGAGCGGAGAAACGCAGGCCTGTGAACACATCCTCAGGAATTACCCGCTACGTTTAACACACCAGATACACGTCACACACACTGTCACACACCTGCTGACACTCAACAGTTGGGTTCAGTGACGCTACAGAATTCACTTCCAGGAGGCTGACAGCAATTGCCATTTATTCTTAGCAAATTGGCTCTGCTTGGCATAATGTGGCTAGTAAAGCAAACCCCCCGTGCAGGAATATCGCTGGATTTCCCCACCCCGTGTCTCCGGTGTTTACACATCGCCAGCTCCATGGATACAGTGACTGAGTGTGTCAATCAACTGCAGTCACTATTCCAGGCAATCTCAGCCAATCAGCAGCCAGACCTCTTGTGCTGTCATGCCTTACATCACACTGTTGGAGCTTGAATGTATCACACCCTACAGGTATTTACCACTCAACTCAATACTCACCCCACTCTAACCGCATCTTAATAAAGCCATTTTCACACAGGGCACTGCGCTTATGAGTGTTGTATGGAGCACAAACATTCCTTTGAAACCACTACTTTTCCAACGAAATTACCAGCATTGTCTGGAACAGCCAACTCATCTACATGGAACCACCGAAACCAGTTCTAACTGGACCATTTTATTCCAGTAATCATGGTTCCCACTCAGAATGCCTTCACATTTTCCATGACCTCCTACACAGGCTCTGCTGGGATTGACTCCCTGTGGAAAGCTCACTCCTGCTTTAACCTTTACCCAGAGAACCCAGATCAGCGAACCCACGTCAAGCCCTGCCATTCCAGCCTGCTTTTAATGGGGAGTTCTGCCCCGACTCCTGAGTGAAGGAGCTTTCTGGAAACGCGGCTGACAGCGAACTGACGATGAGCAGAGACGAATGGCCGTGCACCGAGTTACTGTTTTAAACACTTCGCTCCGGCCAAATGAAATGAGCAGTGTATGCCAAACCACTCGTGCGCAGCTCTGTGCCAAACAAATCTTTCTTTTAAAACAGCGCAGCACATTACATGGGTAAGAAATTAGCCATCTAGTATTTTATGCACTGTCCATTTGGGGAGCTGGACATTTCACTGGGCGATCGGGCAAAGCGCCGTGCTGAAGGCTGTTGCCATAGTTCCCTGACCATGGTTCAAATCTGCAACTCCTGGTTATGAGCACACAACATCTGATTGTCATTTAGCAGACACTCTTATGCAGAATGACTTGCATAGGTCACAATTATATCCATTTATACAGTATACATGAGGCAATTGTGGGTTAAGTACCTTGCCCAAGAGTACAACAGCAGTGCCCTCGGTAGGAATCGAACCAGCAACCTTCCGGTTACAAGCCCTGCTCCTTACCACTACGCCACACTGCTCTCTCCCCACACGACTTTGCACCGCTGCAGTGAGCCTGAACACGCAGCACAGAAGCGCTCCGTTTGGCGGGGGCTGGGGCTAAGGTTTCCGCGGACTCGCCATCTCGCACTCCCAGGGAAGCCTGCCAGGCTGACTCCCGGCCAGCACTGCCATCTGTCTGCATTAGGAGGCTTTTTTCTGTGTGGGTGTTGTTTTAGACAGCTCGCTCCTCCAGCGCCCAATCCCTCTTCCCCCGAAACGGCCTCCCGGCTCAGCGGGGATCGAAACAGCCTCCCGGCTCAGCGGGGATCGAAACTCCAGGAGCCGATCCGGACCAGAGTGAGAGGTCCGAGCCGCCAGTGTCCGGAGAGGGAACGACACGCAGATGACGAGTAACACGAACCGCGGGACGCAAAGAGCACAGTGTTCACCTGCAGCGGCCAAACATGCCTGATCGTTTCTCTCTGCTGCTGAAAAATCTGCGCGGCGAAAACAGCAGCACACCAAGGAGCAGTTACGGTTTATCTGCTTGCTGGCTCCAACACACAGGCCATAAAACAGAACACTGTCTTTGGGAGTGATGCTCTGTAGCCTTGTTATAACATCAGCGGGAAACTGCTGTAGATGGCCCTGTGGAGAGATGGTGCAGGGGAGGGCTTGCCAGGGCTGGGCAGAGCTCTCCGCTCAGCTACAGTGTGTTTGTTCTGGCAGGAGGCCGACGGCCGGTCTGCGGTACCTTGAGCAGTTGCACTTTGACCTCTGTGCTGGCTCCACGAAATCCCAGGATCCCACTTTGTCCGGCGTCTCCTCCTCGCTGACTCCGCCGGACATTGCTGAGAACTTCCTCCTGATGGCCAAACACAGCCCAATGAACAAGAGAGCAGAGGGCATTTTTTCCCCTAACGAAAAGGGCCTGAACTATTGCACAAAACAGGAACAGGACACAATGCAATAATCTGTATGAGCACCATTATCCAAGCAGCATTAGTGTAGTTCAGGGACCTTTTATTTTCTCTCTCTCTCTCTCTCTCTCTCACACACACACACACACACACACACACACACACACACAACTGTGATTAAACTCTTGCCCTTGTTAAACAATCCTATGCAGAGTGGAAGCTAATGCATTTTCACCTGTGTGTCATGATGGTCAGAAATGGAATGAAAATCTTGAAATAACTTCCCTGTGTTGTCATAATGACTTAATTAGCTGAACCACGTCAGGCACTGGGCATTAGAGACCACAGACACAAGGCTTTATAATGGGTAGATTTGAAGAAGAAACCAGTGAAGGGGCACTGGATGCTCACAAAATAGGTAAAACAACCCAGGTGAGCCAGCTTAGCAATAATGGGGAATATGTCTAGTTATTCTTATTATTAAACCATGCAAGGCATAACAGAAAGGAATGAACAAACAGTAATTAGGCTGGCTTTTTGCCCTCTCGGTTGGAGGGCAGCACGTGGCGGTGCATTTGGTCCGGGCGGTGCGTTTCAGACCAGGTGGTGCGCGTGGCAAATAATGGGCACGTACTTGTTCTGGGCTCTGTTGAGGATGTACTCCTGCCACGCCCGCTCCACCACCTGGCTGGCCAGCCGGCGCCGGATCTTTCCGCTGTGGTGGCCGGCGGCGTCCGTGCCGAAGCCGTCTGACACCGAGGACACCTTCACCCACTTCTGGGCTGACTGGGAATCTGGAGAGAGAGAGAGAGAGAGAGAGAGAGAGAGAGAGAGAGAGAGAGTTTGGAGAGGTGCTCACCACACCCCGATTCCCCGTCAGGAGCGCGCCCTCACCTGCAGCTTTAAATAGCCCTGAACCAAGGCGAGTCGCCTACTTTCAGGGACACAGATTAGACTGTCATTAAAACCTCAGGTTACAGCCTGCAGGAACAGGGCCGGTTCTGCTGTCTAACCCTCTCAATTGCAACTTAGAGAGCGAACGGTGCTTTTCAGCTTTTTAATCAGAGCAGTGAGTTACAAACCCAAACATACACATACACAATACCTGAAGATAAACGGTTCTTTACATTACATCATTACATTATTGGCATTTAGCAGACGCGCTTATCTAGAGCAGCTTACACAGCATTTAATTTTTAAATGTTATCCATTTACACAGCTGGATATGTAGTGAGGCAGCTGTGGGTTCTTATCGCTATGCCACGCTGCTGCCCTGCCCCTTTACACACACGGGGCAGGAAGCCGTAACGTGATTGGCTGGGGTACCTGTCTGAGGTTCCTCAGGTGATGTGGGAGGAGTCAGGGTGACGGAGGAGATGGCCGGGTCTCGCTGGGAGGGATGCGTCTGGTGGGCCCCCGAAAAGGCAGCGGTGCAGTGCGAGGGTCCCGTGGGGGCCGCGGCAGGGGGGAGATCAGACTGAGGAACCAGCACCAGACAGGAGGGGTACACCATCCGAACCCCCGCTGCAGAAACACAAACACCCCGGCCTCAAAGGTCAAACACTCAGCCGGCAGCTCTTCGGCTACAAAACACACTAAGCTATATTTATATGCATGGACATTATTAAGGTATTACCACTAATATTATCATTATTATACATTTTTTTTTATTGCATTATTAAGCATATTTGCATTTATGTTTACATTTTCCCTGGTTTTTTTTTTCCAATGTAATCTTGTATCTTGCTGAAATGAAAGTAAAAATTCAAAAAAAAAAAAAAACTTAAAAACATGACTAAGTAAAGTGATTTTTGACATTAGTCACGCATCTCATAAGTTGAATGTGCTGCATCAGCAGGGCTGCTGGGAGCAGGTTTTAGGTGTGACTCATCCCCAGAACTCGCCGCCGCTGATGGGAAATGTCTCAGGTCTGAGGTGCCCTCCCTGCTCACGTCTGAGATTCAGAGGGGAATTTCAGTGGAAATGAATCCCTTTGATGAGTGCGTAACTACATCGCTACTGAGCTGTCTGCGGTGACATAAACAGATAATCTGAGAAGTGTCAATTTCAAACAAACGGGCCGGCAAACGCCTTCATTTTCATAGGCGGTGGCAAAACATCCATCGAGATTTCGTAACTTTTCAAGAAGCCTGGTATTAACAAATACGTTTTTTTGTCAGTTAGCAGACATGCTTATTCAGAGTCACTGCTGTAGGTAACCGTGGGCTGGTCTTCCTGGAATGACTGAGAAAGGTGAAAGTAAAACTGTAAGAGTGAGGAGGTAAGCGTACGGGGCGGTAACGCCTGCACAGCAGGGCGGGGTCTTACCCACGAGCACCTCCACTGCCGCCAGCGAGTCGTCCTCCCAGTCCAGGTCCTCCATCTTGTCCTCCAAGCTCTCCCTGGCGCTGGGACCGATGGGATAGAACTGCTTCCATTCCTCGATCAGCTTCTGCGTGGGGGGGTCCGACAGCTTGAAGGACTGGCCCGTCAGGGTCCCATTCAGGCCGAACGGACTTAGGATCACTGGGGGGACATACGATGTGAGGGAAATTAGCAGACATCTCCATAACCTCAGAATACCCGGTGTGCTGCTGCAGAATCCCCACCCCCCCTTCCCTCCCTCCACCCACTGCAATCAGTACATTCTGTCTTCACCTCTCTTCACCACGCTCCGCTCCGACAGTGATATACAGCGTCGTATAAACCCTCAGAACGAGCTCTAATGGTGCACAGGACTCCTTGAGCGCTCGTAATCTTTGACTCGTACAAGGACTGTCGTGGGCGGGGGGGTTATGTTGGTCGGGGGGCTCTCTGCAGGGGTCAGTGACGCGGGTCCTGTCGGTGCCTGCAATACTGACGCGATGCTGGCCATACACCAGCTTCCAGGAGACGGCTCGGGTGTCGGGGCTCTGTGCGTGTGTGCGGTGCGTGTTCTGCGTGTGTGCGTGTTCTGCGTGCAGGCAGGAAACTGCAGCGGGAGGGAGACTCAGAGTGCCACGCTCACTGCCCCACATGGAGGGGACGGCGGCTCCCCAGCCAATCAGAGCCCAGCTCCTCACTCCCTGATCCCTGCACTGAGGGCTGAGGGCAGTAAGATAAGCTCCATGGGGATGTACTGCTGAATGCTGTATAAATCACTTTTTTTGTCCTTTTGCACTGCACTTTCATTATGATTTATCTTCTGGTGTGATAAGCAGAGGACCATGGGTTTCACACAGGAATCCTTACTTGAAGTCTTCACTGGAATCAATGACTATTGATCCGGGAGTCCATGAAGTCTCGTTCTCACTGGCTGCTAGCAAGTTTTGTTTCACTTTATTAATTAGGGCTTTTTTTCCTGTTTTTTTGTTGTTTACTAAACGGGAGAAAGTGGTTATTTGATCATAGCTTCATAAAGAACAGCAGGCTGTGGCAGTGTGATCACCCTCCTAACCCGGGTTAATAACGCAGGCAGCCTCCCGTCCCTGTGGTGCTCAAGGCCCCGTCTGTAAGCCCTGCTGAAAGCATTACCCGACAGCCAGCAGCAAACACATAAATCACACACCGCGGGCTGCGCTGCATCAAAGCCCCTCAGCTTACACAACACGGACACAGCGAGCTGCACACACTCAAACATGTGGCCTGAAAAATGCGCAACAATATTTTGTCTCAAAATTCCAGATGACTGGTGCAGTAAATTTACACCGGGGTGGGGGGTGGTGACGGGCGTGTGCTGTAATCACAGCTGCAAGTGGAGACAGGCAGGGAGACGGGGAGACAGGCTTTGGCATTGTCTCTCTTTAGTGGGCTTTTGAGTGGCTGTAATAGGACACTGGCAACATGATGATAAATTTTAGCAGAGATATGGGGATACGCTTTCCCTGAAGGGCGTGTCGGATGCGTGCGTCGGTTAAATTAATTTAAAAGCGTCGGGTTCATTACATCTTGGTTGCCTTTTTATTTTTATAGGGTCATATCCTGCAGAGACTCCTCACATGCATGAGATACAACGACTGTCATTACTTTGCATGCACTGATTTTATATCACTACACACGCACACATGCACACACGCACGTACGCATGCATGCAGACATACTCATACATCCGGAATTCCATCTCAGTTTTTCTTAAGGAC